ATTTGTTCAAAAACGTGGATTCATTCAGTAACGAAACACCGCTGTGTGCTGCACAGACACAAAACAGCTCTGCTGTGGCTTTGACTGGAACTACATTCATCAGCGAAATTGAGCAAAAACAGTCAATATTGTGTCTAAAACGTAAGTGACTTAATTTTAACTTCTTGTTTATTGAACTACTATTGTATAAAATCACACTGCAGTCGTGTTCAATCGGTGCATCTCTAACATTAAGTGCTACATCTAGGTTTGTGCAAAGTCACTGAATAAGAGTCAATGTCAGGTTCTGGTGCTCTTGTTCCCGTGTCTGGTCTCTGGACGTCCCTGATGGATCGCTGTCACTGCTTTGTCCTTTTGATGAATTTCAGTCTTTTCACCTCCACATCTGTTACCCACCGTCTCCTCAGACCTCGCATTTGATTTTCTTCTCACCGCGGTACAGCACACACATTTCACCGCAGAGGACAGACGTGTGTGTGTGTGTGTGTGTGCGTGTGTGTGCGTGCGTTAACCCACTTTCTTCACAGAGAACGACACGGACATTAGGAATGAAACTGACCTGCAGAGCGTCGTCTTCTTTGAGCAGCTCTTTCTGGGGGAACAGGTCCCGGGCCTGAATGTACTCCAGGCTGGGCGGCCCCTCCTCACCCTGAAAACACACACGCTATTACATATCAACCTCAGAAAACAAACTCTTCCAACTCACAACTCTGACTGGACGAGCTGTATTTGAATTTGACCTTTGACCGAATGCCAGCGGAATTCTAAAGTGCCTGTCAATGGAATGTTCTGTTGCTTGGCACCTGTAAACAAATTTGCTCTGGCCAAATTCTAAAGCATGTTTATTTATTTTTTTAAAGACAAGTATCACCATTACAGCTTTTCTTATTTACATGATCAAAATCATTAGTTATTAGTGATGTATGATGAAGTTATTTAAGAATTTTAAGGAGTAAATATGCCTTTATACACTGACATTCAGAAACTGCTATTCAATTTCAAATATTTTGGGAGGTTATGAGTCATTTACACTACTATCTGTAATAAGTCACTGATTAAACAACCTCTATAGAGCAAGATTTAAAAAAATCCCAAAAAATAATTTTAATATTGTATTTAATAACACAATGTAATAAAATGTAATGATTAAAATTATATAAAACTAAAAAAGCTCAAAACAAACATTAAAATAAAATATAAAAATAAACTAAACAAATAATTTGTATTATTGTTTGGTTTATTTTATATTAATTTATTTTAATATTTATTTGTTTTATTTTATTATTTTTTTAATTATTTTTGTTAATTAAATGTGAAATTTTGAAGTAGAAGTAGACAGTAAGTAACATCGTCTTATATGAAAAATCTGAAGTCACAGCTAAAATCCTAAATAAAAAAATACAATCCCATGATGCACTGCAACAAGCTCCAAAAATATCCAAAATGGCAAAATATCTACAATTCAATTAATGCTGAAAAGTATTAAATCTAGTTAAACGTGGTTATCTGACCCAATATTTATGCATTATGTTATTCATTTAGATGTCATTTAAACACGTCTGTGTCTTTCCTCATGCACACGGATCAATGATGGAAACGTGTCTCCCATCTGCTGTCATTTCCAGCAGTGACGTAACGGTTCTGCTTCAGTCACAAACTACAATCAGTCAGAGAGACTCATGACTGACAAACAAACGAACGAACAATTAGCAAGAGACATCAGAGAATGTGGTGCTGAATTATTATTCAATAATTATTAGAATTAGAAAAAAAATGTAAATAATTTAAAATACTGTGTGTGCGCGCGAGTGTGTATATATATATATATATATATATATATATAATAGTGGTTCAACGGATCACAAATCTCACGGTTCGGATCACATTACAGTTTCTGACCAACGGATCGGACCATTTTTCGGATCAGCAAGAAAATAAAAATATTTCAATTTAACTTGCTTTCCATTTATTACGTAAAGCGAAGTACTTCTTTGATACCACAGCAAATACGACTAGATTAACTAAGAAAGTTTAAACATGATTAAAGACACAAGAGAACAGCCAGTAAAAATAAGAACAAATACACAAATTACAAGTAAATAAACAGAATATGTTACAAATAAAATAAGGTTGGTAGTATTCAAATACAGAAATGTAATAATTAAGGAAAATAACACTGCATAGTGTTCACTGTATAAATTAAACAGTTTTTTTTTAATCACAGCCGTTTTGTCGTTTGATGATCATTAATGACAGCAGCAGTATTTATAGGCCGCTGTCCCTTTAAGACCTGATGCACGGATCCGATATAATACGCATCACATTCAATTTCTTTCGTAGCTGTTTTCATTCACTTGAGACATAACTGACTGCGTTTACCTGAATGCTATATTTATACTACAATACTATTATTTTATAAACTTTTTTTGATAATATTATTACACAATAATATTTGTCTTTATTTTCAAATGTTAAACCATCAAGAGTTTATTTGGACAGAAAACAGCCTATGACTGCAGGCCAAAAATAAATCAACAAGACTATAATATAAAATATAAAATTATCATTATTATTTTACAATTAAGAAATTACTATTGAAAAAGAGAACAATGAAATAACATTGCAAAATAATTTTGTTTTGCATAATTACAGTACTAATATTTAATCTTAATGTTTTCATTTCCACTTTTATTTCGGCAGAAAACTGCAGTGAGCCCTAAAAGCATCTCCTTTGTTGCCAATGGGTTTATAAATGCTTCTCATTACAAAATAGTTACATTATTGTTATGAAACACTGGACCGTGTGTTTAGACTAAAGCAGCTCATTTTCACTGTAGGACCGAGTTTCCGGTGCGGCAGAAACGTCTGATCGGCTACGTGTTCACAGGCGTCACGTAGTGGATTAAACATTGATCTGAAGCGACCTTGAGCCGCCGTTCACATCACAGGACGAGGTGAAAGACCTTCGCCTGGCATCAGACACGAGTGAAGAAATCAACCACACCACCGGATGAGAACGCCAGAGCCAGAGCCCACACAGAGAAAAGCTCTCGAATGTATACTCTACAGCATGCAACAAGAGTTTTATGTTTTCAGAAGAAACTGGGAGAGGTTCAGACGTCTGAAGACCTTGCTCTGAACTCGGCACAGGTTGATGATTGAGAAAAGCGGAAGGTTAAACATTACGATTAAAAACCCTGAACATCAGTGAAAAACTTGCTCTCACACACACACACACACACACACACAAACAAACAAACAAACAAACACATACACAAACACACACACACGCATACACAAACACGCACACACACACGCATACACAAACACACACACAAACAAACGCACACACAAACAAACAAACACACACACAACCAAACAAACAAACACGCACACAACCAAACAAACAAACACGCACACATACACAAACACGCACACACACAAACAAACAAACATGCACACATACACAAACACGCACACACAAACAAACAAACATGCACACATACACAAACACGCACACACACAAACAAACAAACACGCACACAACCAAACAAACAAACACGCACACATACACAAACAGGCACACACACAAACAAACACGCACACAAACACACACACACAAACAAACAAACAAACCAACACACACAAACACGCACACACAAACAAATAAACAAAAACAGCGATGATTATTATAAAAATACTTTAAAGTTCAAGTCTGTGTCTGAAAAGGGATTGTTCACCCAAAATGAGCAAGCTGCATTGAATTGTGTGAAATTCTTAAGTAGAAAGACTGAAATTGTATTTTCTTGTAAAATGTACCCCAATAAACTTTATTTACATTGTTTTTAACACTATAGTAGTGAAGCACTATTACTCAAAGACTTTACTGTCTGATCATGTTGTACCTTGTTGCTAAATTATTGCAATCAGTAGGGAAGAGACAAAGAGCGAATTACCCAGACACACACAGTCTCGTGGTCACACTCAGAGAGAGAGTGTGTGTGTGTGTGTGTGTGAGAGTGTGTGAGTGTGTGAGAGTGAGAGAGTGTGTGTGTGTGTGTGTGTGTGTCCAAGACTCTCTAACCTGTCTGACACAATAGCAGAGCCATCACACACACACACACACACACACACACACACACACACACTCCAGATGTTTACAAAACACACAACTGAGAGACTGACCGGACAGATTCAATCAGGCCTGTAAACATCACACACAACTATTTTAGTGACCAGTTCTTAAAATCTTAACATTTGGTCACCCATATCTTGAGTATTTGGATACATACTTGGATTTACTATAAAATCGACAGGGAGCATTTGACATAAGTTGATATGCAACATCATAATTGCTGAAATAAACGGCATTTTATGAGATTTTCGGACACCAAAAACACAATGTAAGTATCGCTTTAGAGTAAAACAATCTCTGTTGCTCACCAAGGCTGCATTTATTTGATCAAAAATACAGTAAAAACAGTGAAATATTATTACAATTTAAAATAGCTGTTTTCTATGTGAATGTATTTCAAACTGTAATTTATTTCTGTGATGTGCAGCTGTATTTTCAGCATCATTCCTCCAGTCTTCAGTGTCACATGATCTTCAGAAATCAGTATAATATGCTGATCTGCTGCTCGAGAAACATTTCTGATTATTATCAATGTTGAAAACAGTTGTGCTGCCCAATATTTTTGTGGAAATTGTGATGTAATGTCTCTTTTGATCAACTTAATGCATCCTTGCTGAATTAAGCATTTATTTATTTAAAATAAAGCGTCCTGTCATCAGGCCGTGTGTTTCGGCATGTGTGTCCGTCACAGATGAACAAAGTGACAATAGATGCCAACACCTGTCAGACACACATGACAGAAGAACGCGTGAGTGACGAGACAGAGGAAGACTCTTCAGAGGACAAACTACAGCACAAATCATGATTTAACACAACTTCAACTACTACAGCGTCAGAAGGTTACAAACTAACAACAAACAATCTACAAAGATTTAAAATGCATCATGATTTTATATCATCTTTGCCAAGTAAACAAGGCAGAGGTCAGCCTCTTTTTTTCATTTTCCTGAAGTGATACTTTGCTAATAAATACTAGATAATCCTCATATTCATGTTTCACGTCGCTTGTAAACTTTTTGAAAATCTCATGTCATTGTGATGCTATGGTGAACTTTATAATTCAATTTTAAAAAGTGTAGAGTATTTAAAGTGTAGTATTATTTAAAAGCAAGCTTTGAACAAAGCTTTGCATGTTTTATTAAAATGTTTAGATGTGAAACAAATAAATATCAGTTATGCATATCGGTTATCGGGCACATAAACATGCAAATAATCGGCATCAATTATAAAAAAAATCAATATTGGGCCATTTATACCAAACACTCCAGCAGAAACAGCAAATAGAAATATAATATCATTAAATATTGATTCTGCATATCAGTTATTGGGCAGATAAGCATGCAAATAATCTGTAATGGTTACATTTTTTAAATATTTTATTGTTTTTATGCTTAAACCCTTTTTCGTCTTTGACCCATGTTTTAATATTAATTAATGGACCTGAGCTGAGTTGTATTTGTATTAATATGTAACCAAAGTTACATACATAAAAGATTTTGATATTGAAGATATTG